GTGTGTGTGTGTGTGTGTGTGTGTGTGTGTGTGTGTGTGTGTGTGTGCGCGCGCGCGGGGTGGGGGGTGCCAACTTGATCCTTGGCGATCAGCGACTGAAAGTGGCACGGAGCTCCTCCAGGTGGCAGGATAAGGGCGCAGTTTCCCAGGCTGGGCCCCGGTGCCTTGTGCGTCCTTCTGGGTGGTTTGTATCGGAGTCGGATGTCCCTGTGTTTGCAGATCACCAGCGCTGCAGATTCCGAGGCCGTTACGTACCAGAAGTTGGTGAAAGGACATGCGTACTCCGTCACTGGAGCGGAGGAGGTACGGAGCCCGGCTATTCCAGGGTGGGGCCTCCAGGCCGGCATCTGTCCGGCGCGCGCTGCCCCCTGCTGGCCACAGAGGCAGCTGCAGGCGGTCTTATGTTAGGACAATCAGCTTTAAAAACAAAACCCAAACACAGCACTTTGCGTCTGTATACTGTTTTATACTCTTCAAAATGCTGATAGTGGGACGCGGTGGCTCACACCTGGAAACCCAGCCTCTGTCACCCAAGTGCAAGGATTTTTTTAAAGGTTTGTTTTTATGTGTATTTTAACATTGCTAAGTCATGCCACACATGCTGTCTTTGCTTACAAGTAAGTCAAGTAAGCCGCAGGTATGGTGGCTTGGGCCTGTGGTCCTGGCTACTTCAGTGCTGAGTCAGGAGGATTACTTAAGGTAAAGGGTTCACAGCCCGTCTGGGTAACCCAATGAAACCTTGTCAAAAAAAAAAAAAAAAAAATCCCCAAACTGCATCTTCCTTTTCATCCAACACCTCTAAGCAACCAAGAAAGCTTCTCTGAGAGCCTGTGATAAAATACATCCCTGTACAGTTAGTTAATTGAGGTTTAACCCTTACACCCCAACCACAGACACCAGGGCAGAGGGTCAGGCTGCTGTGACCTCAGGCTGCTGACAAAGATTAAAGGGTCCAGTCTCCAAGAGCCAGATCCTGGGAGCTCTATTTTCATTTTGCTTTTGGGGAGGTGCTGGTGTCTGCTCTGCTCTGTTTGACTGAGGTGGAGTCTCTGGCTTTCCATGGAGTTTAATTCTTATTTTCCAGAGCTGGGCCTCTGTGAGGGTCTGAGGGCCAAGACACTCCCAGCTTCCATGGTCCTCCTCCACCCACTTGGCTCATGCTGAACCCACATTGTGGGTTCAAGCCCCTCCATGCCGGCCTGGCTCTCAGCCTCTCCCTCCTCTCTCATCGGATCCTTTAGGTTGAAAGCTCAGGAAGCCTGCAGAAATTGATCCGAATCCGGAATCCCTGGGGAGAAGTGGAGTGGACCGGGAAGTGGAATGACAAGTAAGAGGGGTGCAGGGTGGGGCAGGGTGGGCCAGGGTGCGCCAGGGTGGGCCAGGGAGGGCCAGGGTGGGCCAGGGTGGGCCAGGGTGCATGCATTCTCCTAGGAGGGCCGGTTGAAACTCAGAGATGAGGCACTGTATGCAGAGCCAAGAAGTGAGGTTCTGAGCTCACTGCTCACACCGAGTGGGCCCCAGGGCTGCGGCCCTTTAAAGAGTTTGTAAACAGATCATCCCTCCCAGCACTGGGGAGTTCTGCCCAGGTCTCCAATGGACACATTCTCTCCCACCTCAGTGGCTAGACCTCCCTCAGGGGAAAATGCACACCAAAGGCTGGTGAGATGGCTTAGCAGGCAGAGGTGCTCACACCAAGCTGGTGACACGAATTTGACCCCTGGGACCCACGTGGAGGAATGAGAGAACCATCTACCACAAATTATCCTCTGACCCCCACAAAAGCACCATGTCATGAGCATACACCCTCACCCTGCTGGCACACACACACACACACACACACACACACACACACACACAGACTAAATAAGTGTAAACAGGAAAAGATGTAAAGAAAAAGCACCCTCATCCTGATAACACTCCATTTCAAGGACATGAACCTTGTGCCAAGAGCAGAGGTGAGCCTGTTGCACTCCACGGCTTGCTGGTAGCTAGCTATTCAGCTTCAACCCTCTGGGGCAGATGCTCCATTGGGCCCCTCTTCCGGGTCCCTCCACTCTTTACTAGATGCTCACCCCTGCTTCTTCCACCCCCTTTCTGGCTTGTTCTAGGCAGCCCTGGCCTCAGCAGAGGAATGCCTATTGGCAGACTTCCTTCTAAGTTGCTTTGGGAGTCCAGTTAGCCCTGAAAGAGCCGCCAGGAGCATGTCACCTGACACAGGTGCTGCTCCTTCATTCCCGATGGTGGGTGTTAGGCCCAGCAAGAGCCTAAATATAAGAAAGTATGAAGAGAACTCAGGAAACTAATCATCCATCAATGCAAAAACGCAAGAGGTTCCTCTTGACCATTGCGCAGTGGGGTCACCCCTGCTGGTCAGCTAGGAGTGGCACTGGGAGACAAAGACCTTAGGTTTTTAAAAGACACAAGATGGGAATCTCCTGGGGTTGCCTTCTTGGCGATTCAGGATTAGATGAGGCCTTTAACTTTTAAAATAATTGGTTAGTTCTGGTCACCCTTAGGTCCAGTCAGCCCTTTCGTAAATATCTGATCTTCAAGTCAGTTTGGAATTTCCTGCCATCCACAGTTAAAGATGGGAGAGTGATTAACTCATCCCATGTCTGTTCTGAGGAGTTGGGGGTTACAGGTTTTGGATCAAAGGTCAGAAGGATTGGGGCCATTTGGCCCAGTTTCCAAACAAAGCCCATCTCACCGGCGCCAGCTGGTGATTTTCTCTCCATTTAGTAGAGATCTCTGCTTGTTCTCTTCCTTATCTCTGCCCTCACAGATGGCTAATGTCAGGAACTTTTACATTCCTCGGCTCTCTGGAGAAGCACTAAGAGGCTTTAATTAACATGGGCCTAAAACTTGCAAATATAAGTTATAAGGCAATTAAAAGAAACATAGGTTACAAAGTTAGTCTGATTCTTTGTTAGTCTGATTCAGTGGGCCTTGCTCATTTTCTACTCTTCTGTCTGACATCTTCCAGGAGAGCCTGACCTCTTCCCTTGCTTCCTGTACACAGTTCTGTGCTCCTTAGGTCACTCTTTTGTGTTTCTCAGTGGGCATCTGGGAACTGTGGAGAGAAACGGTCGTTACCACACACTCACTCCTAAGGCCTCTCCTATTGCTTTGCTTTCCAGCTGCCCCAGCTGGAACACGGTTGACCCAGATGTGAGAGCGAGTCTAACACAGCGGCAGGAGGACGGGGAATTCTGGTAAGACAGCGGAGGCTCCAGGGGAAGGGCCCCACCCCAGTGCTCTTTACCAGAAAGTTGCTGACCAGAACATCAGCAAGAAGTGTGCTCAGCACACTGAGGGAGTGTGGTGTGGCATCCTGGCTTTGCTGCCTTGTGTGTCTTTAAGTGCCAGGCACGGTGGTACACCTCTGTAATCTTAGCACTCTGGAAATTGAGAAAGAGGGCTCTCAAACTGGAGGCTGAGATGCATAGCCTGGGCTCTCAAGCAAGAAACTGTTTCCAAAAAAAAGAAAAAGAAAAATTCTCCACACGATCCTGAACAACTTTTAAATCTCTTCGATTTGTCCATTTCATCAGTGGGGTTGACTCCTGGGCAGCTTTATGAGGGCTGAGAAGAATTCCTTCAGTAATGTTCAGACCCCAAGAGAAAATACAGAGATAGATGAGTCCTTTCTTCCCATCAGTCTCTAAAGCGATAGCCCGACTCATTAAGAAACCAACCGCAGAGAAGGGCGGCGGCTCAGTAGTTAAGATCCGTCTCTGCTCATGAGGACCTGAATTCAGTTCCCACCCCAAAATGCTGGCTCACAATTGCCTGTAACTCTAATTCCAGGGCATCTGGCTTCCTCGCTCCTGCCTGTATGTGATGCACATACAATCATGAAAGCAAACCCACGTAACATAAACAAAGCTTAAAAAGAAAGAAACCAGTTCCTCAGTGAGCAGAGAGGCCCACTGAGTGTGCCTTGCCCCACGGAACACCTACAGTGGCTATTGTTTGCCCTGGGAGCCCGGATGTTGTCTCGGTTGGTATTCATTCATGGCTCTGATTTCAGGTCTTCTGAGAGCTCAGAGGTGCAAACAGGGCTCAGTCACCACTTAGAAAGTGGCCGCCACAGGACTAGGCTGGGGGCCTTCTGAGTCTGTCCCTATGGCCACCGCCCAGCCTCATGCAGCTCCTCATCTGACCAGGAGGAGGGCCAAAGCTGGCCGCCTCTCCTGTAACTCGGAACGCCCTGTCTCTGCCCGGCTAGGATGTCCTTCAGTGACTTCCTGAGGCACTATTCTCGCCTGGAGATCTGCAACCTGACCCCGGACACTCTCACCTGCGACTCCTACAAGAAGTGGAAACTCAACAAGATGGATGGGAACTGGAGGCGAGGCTCCACTGCAGGGGGCTGCAGGAACTACCCAAGTAAGGGTCGTGGCCGGGGGAGGCAGCAGTCCCACAGCATCCTACCTGGATAGATAGGCCGCAGCAGCCTGGAAACCCAGGGGAGCTGGCTCCCTCACCAGGCCATCGTTCTCTTCCATCACCTCCAGCCTTGATCGCAACATCTTTTTCTGCTTTCTCCCCTGCTACTCCCTGCACTCATTTGCTGTGAAGCCGTCTGGGCCCTAGATCCTCTGGTGCCTATGACCTTCATCTGGCTTAGTGGATCAGTGCTAAGTCTTAGTTTAGTGCTAAGGCCCAGTTCATAACTAGCCACCCTAGGCCCTCACACAGTTCATTCTTGGGGCACACCAGCCTCTCGTGGCAGTCTCCCACCCTCTGGTGTGTCAAGTTCATTTATAAAATATTGACATCCAGGTGGTGGTGGTTCACACTTTTAATCCCAGCACTTGGGAGGCAGAGGCAGGCAGGGTTCAAGGCCAGCCTGGTCTACAGAGAGAGTTTCAGGACAGCCAGGGCTACACAGAGAAACTCTGTCACAGGAAGAAAGAAAGAAAGAAAGAAAGAAAGAAAGAAAGAAAGAAAGAAAGAAAGAAAGAAAGAAAGAAAGAAAGAGGGAGGGAGGGAGGGAGGGAGGAAGGAAGGAAGGAAGGAAGGAAGGAAGGAAGGGAAGGAAGAAAGAAAGAAAAAGAAAGAAAGAATAAAAGGAAGGAAGGAAGGAAGGAGGAAAGAAAGAAAAGAAGGAAGGAAGAAGGAAAGAAAGAAAAGAAGGAAGGATCATGATGACAGAGCCCAGCTCACACAGGGAGAGGATTTTTCTGCTCTGCTCTTTGTTGATCCTCTCTGCTGATCTCTTCTGTTGTCCTGATGGCTCACTCTTCCTTCCTTCCTTCCCTAAAAATTCTCTGATCTTGGTGACACTGCCAGTTGTGGGGTGGGTCATACAGGGACTGGGAACTGTCCCACAGAGCTTCATCTGTGTATTTCTCTTCTCAACAAGCTCACCTATATTCATTTCCATCTTTAAGATGAAGGGAGACTCAGGATGTGGCAGAGCCGAGGCACAGAGCTTCCTGTGGTTTGAACTCACGCAGTCTGGCTATGGAGTCACTCTTACTCTGGTAGCAGGCCATGGTCATATTTTGACTCTCTGTTGCAGATTAGGAAACTGAGGCTTTAGGTGGTGTACCAGACCCACAGAGCAAGTAGACTGTGACTAGCTGGCCAGTCCCTCCAAGTCCCAGAATGCAGTGACCAAGCGATAGTTCTAGAGGCCTCCCCTGGGAAGCCCCGCAACCACCCACAAAAACACCTTGTACATCAGTTGGCAGGGGGCAGGGGAGAGGGGAGCAGCAGACACTCTCTCAAGGACCTCAGAGTGAAGCTCTTGGCCTTGTGGGATGCTCTGCCTCAACAGGTAGCCTAGGAACTTTGTACACACGTGAGTGTATCAACAAAACTGAGTTTAGAGAAGCAGAGGTCACCTCATGAGGGAAGGGGGAGTAGCACTCAGCCTAATTACCTCGAACAGGAGGGACTCGTTGCCTTCCTGCAGATGGGCTTTGGAAGTGTGGATTGTAGAGGCACCGCGAAGGTGGGGCAAGAGACAGAGATGCGCCCAGGCTTCTGCATTCACCAAGGGGTAGGCGAGCCTTAGGGAGCACCAAGGCAGGACATTCCTGATTTAGATGTTCTGGGACCCAGACTGTTCCGGGAGCCCAGCAGAACCTCCATTTGCCTTACCTAGGGTGATGGTGGGGGAACACTTCATAATGGGAACAAGGGTGTTACTTTGATGGGAGTGTGATTCCCTGGCATGCATGAAGCCCAGATTCGGTGCCTAGTACTTGCAGGAGGACAAGAAATTCAAGGTCATCCTCAGAGATGGAGGCCAGTTTGAACTACATGAACCCTTGTGCCGAAAGGAGAGAACCCGAGGAAGCTGCTTCCTCATGGCAGGAGCAGGCAGATCTCCCTCAACCCACCTCTGTCAGCAGCCACTTCAGCCAGGGGCTGCATTTGGCCTCTACCGTGCTTCTTCATCTCCCACCATCTCCCGTTTTCTCGTCCTTGTCCCACCACTTCCAGCTACAAAGCCAGGGCCCACCCAAGTTCCCAGACCCTGGGCATTTATTTGGGACTAGGCTCCTCTGTCCCTGTTCCACAGATACCTTCTGGATGAACCCCCAGTACCTAATCAAGCTGGAGGAGGAAGATGAAGATGATGAGGATGGGGAGAGGGGCTGTACCTTCCTGGTGGGCCTCATCCAGAAGCACCGACGGCGGCAGAGGAAGATGGGCCAGGACATGCACACCATTGGCTTTGGCATCTACGAGGTACGAGCAGAGGATGGATGGTGCCCTGCCTTCCCTTCCCTCTTACCAGCCCCAGCTACATGGACCCCAGAGGCAGAACATGGCATAAGCCAGAGGACAGGGAGCTTGGCCTAGCTAAAGTAAGGAAGCAGCACAGCCAGACTTAGCAGTCTGCAATGGTTTGTGTCTCCAGGGACCTCCTGGCCCTTCTCTGGGCCCCCAAAGCTATCTTTCTGGGAGTTCCATGCTTGGAAGAGACCTCTGTGTCCCTCTTCACATCTCCTAGTCCTGGAATTCTGATTGGGCAAGCAAACTCCAAAGAATGGAAAAGATTTCAGCTAGAACAGAATATTCTAGAGCACACCCAGAAGTATTGTGAGGGCTGCGCTCAGCCAACAGGTCCTAATGGTCAGAGCCCAGCCAAGTCTTTGGCCTGGATGGGAGAGAGCCCAGGACAGGATAAAGAAGGGTCATTATGCTCCCCTGGGGCCTGCTGGCTGCAGCCTTGCTCTCACAGACCCCTCATGGGGCCGGCTCTCTTGCCAAGCCAACGGAAAGCCACGCCTGCCCAGCTTTGCCAGACGGCAGCCTTGTCACGGCCATCTTTCTTCTTCAAGCTGAGGTCTGGAGCCATGTAGGGGCTGTGCTGCACAGAACATGGCCTTGGTTGGCAGGAGATGAGTAGAGAATGAAGATTTCGGTGAGGTTGCAGGGGTGCCTTTTGTTTAATGAGTAAAATCTGGCGATTTTCTGGACTCTTCCTAGTTCTGCCAGGCCATCGCCCCTCATTCCCTCAGCCCCATGCTTAGCAAGGTCATCTGGTAGCCAGAACATGTGTTTTGGAAATGGCAAACATTACCAATCTGGGCCTCTGCCCACAAACTCCAAGCATACCCCTGAAGATTCAACTCAAGTGCTCATCACTGGCAATATGGCCACTTCTGATTTGCTGCTGATCTGAGCCCAGTCCACCAACCTGAGAATTGGGGTTGGACAAAAACCATAAGTTGCAAATATACACAGGCCCTGGACTCTCAGCCTCTGAAAGCTGAGGACTTGGGCAGAATAGCTCAGAAATGCAAAGTGAATTGTGCCCACTCATGCATGCACTTGGGAGTCCAGTTATGGCCTTTCAGAGCTGGGCAAGACGTTGACAGTTATCAGTCCCATTCAACATGTAGGAAAACTAAGGCCAATGAGGGAGAGTGACTTACTGGAGGAGATTCATACAGCCTGGATATGGCTGGCCTAGACTGTTGCTTCTTCCACCTTCACCCAGCCCTACTTCCCCTGAGCAAGAGATGGGTGTGGGCTTCGACACAGCTGGCTCCTGACTGAAAACAAGTCTCCACATGTTTCCATGCATGAATGTCAGTACGAGCCCATCCACCCTATCACTGGGTCCTAAGAGGGTTTTCTTCGAGCGTGGCCAACATGCTTTGAGTTCCTTGAAAAACAATAGTCGTGCTGACCTGGTTAATAGCACCGAAGCAACATAGAAAAATACGCCGTGAGTAGTCAGTCACGGTGCCGGTGTGCTCACATTCTGCTCCCCAAATCTGAATCGGGCCTCCTTTGTTTTCCAGGTTCCAGAAGAGGTACGTCTGGCACATGTCAACCCCTGCCCCCAGGGCTCCAGCTGCCAACATGATTGAGGCTTAGCCTGCCTGAACTCAGGGAGTAGAGGGAGCTTTGGAGGGGCTGGTGGCTGAGGGACGAGTCTTTGCCCCCTCTGAGGCCCTGTGGGGATGGATCCAGTTCTGGATCCCAGTGGACTAAGCTCAGGGCAAAACATCTGGAGAGTGCGTTGGCGTTTACTGTCTCTGCATGAGCCCAGAGAACCTGTGTAGAGTTTAGCCGTGGTGGCAGCCCCATACCCTTGGACCGCAGAGGCTCCTCATCAAAGCCTGTGTAGCCGTGAGAAGAAGCGGGAGGGGGAAGATGAGCTGCACTGTCCTGGACCCCAATTCCCAGGCCACATGACCCTGTACACGTGACATGGTCTCCCTGAGCTTTCATATCTTCTCCAGCATAAATAATCAGCCATGACCTTCCTGGGCACTGTGGGCATGAGCTGGGTTATAGAAGGCCACGGTTAACAGTAATAAGATGCATAGCAGCCAGGTGACTCAAAGGGCCAGGGACTAAATGGCCACACCACGTGCCCTGATCCACCCATGGGCCTCCTGCTTTTGCCAATAGACGGTTGAGCTTTATTGAACGCTACGTTCCGAGTTGTGGGCCCAGCCTTGGGTTACATCTGGTTTGGGCCCTTTCTTACTACCCCCTTTTACTGGTGTGTGAAACACAACACAGAACTGACCTGGATCCTTTGTGAGGGAGGGGCCTCTAGCACCCTGAGAGTCACCCAGAGCAAGGTAGACAGGAGAGGGGTGCTCCTGTCACAGCTGGTCACGCCTGAGCCCCTTGCAAGTCATGTGATGCTTGGGATGGAAGTTTCGCTTCTCATCTGAAATCATCCAGGCATTGTCCCTGTTATCCCTTTGTGAGAAAACGGCACGTTTGTGAGCTCCTTCCCCATGTCCTCGTTTAATCATCAGCTAAAAGGGCAGACCAACATCCACCTTGGCAAGAACTTTTTCCTCACAACCCGAGCCAGGGAGCGGTCGGATACCTTCATCAACCTCCGGGAGGTGCTCAACCGCTTCAAGCTGCCCCCGGGAGAGTACATCCTGGTTCCCTCCACCTTCGAGCCCCACAAGGATGGCGACTTCTGCGTCCGCGTCTTCTCAGAGAAGAAGGCCGACTACGAGTAGGTTCTGCTACCTCTCCCTGGCCCCAGTCCTGGTCTGCCCTTCCCTGTTTCTGTAATACTGACCAACTTGACAGACCAGTGTAGGGGGGGAGAGCTCTGAGGGTCCTCCTGGAGGAAGCAAAGGGGAAAGCCATGCAGGGCGCAGGGTGTGTTAAGTTGGAACAGGGCAGCTGAGGAAGCAGGTGGCTAAATGGGGGAGGGGGGAGCAGGGACAAAATGGGAAGGATGGGAACGAGAGTGTTCTGGAGGACCGTGGTTGGGACAACCTGTGCCAAAGACCCAAAGGCCTCATAAATTGTGTCTGATGGAGTGGGCACAAGCCACTCCCCCGCCATCACCTGTAAAAAGGAAGATGCGATGGGAGAGAGACCAGGATGCTTCAAGACAACACATGTTAGAAGAGTTTCAGTTCCCAACAGCTGTGAAGCCGTCAACGCTGGTTGAGTGTGGCAGTGGCTCCCTGCCCTGACAAGTGCTCTTGTTTTATTGACACTTGCTACAGGGAAGGAGCCTGTTGGGTCATTTCACTGGGGGAATCCCAGCGTGTCTGCTTAGCCTCCAACAACAAAACAGGGTCAAACCCTGATATCATTACGAAGGCATTATTCTTGGTCAAACCCTATCCTACACTGCTAATGACAAACCTTGCCAGAGAAGTGCCAGCCCCTCTCCTCTGTCTAGCATGAAGTCCCTGCCCTTCAGAGCTTCCACCCTGACCCAGGGCAGCCAACCTACTGCGGATCCCAGCTAGCAGCACTCAGAAACCCCTTTACCCTTCCATGATGCTTCAGGTCTTCAGACGAGACCCTTAGTAACCTAGTTTAAGATTACAAGCCACCACAGAAGCCCCTCCTAGGCTTAAGTACCTTCATGGAGGACCCAGCTTATGCAAGGGACTGTGTGAGAGTAAGCTAAGTCTCCTGGCATGTTTCCTATAGCTTGTTCCAGCCCAATGTGAGACATGGTCAGAGGTTCATACAAGCAAATAAGACAGTCCTCTTCATAGCAGTGTTTAAGATGGTACTTCAAAGTTGTCCTTTGAGACTAGGGATGTAGCTCAGTGGTAGGGTACTTGCTCAGCATTGCAAGGCTCCAGCACTTAAAGAAAAAGCAAAACAAAGAAGCAACTGTCAAGAAAATGTCCAGCCAGAAGCTAACCGCGTCCCCAGAGCCCTTGCTCTATACCACATGGGAAGACTGTGCTGTTTGATAAAGACCCAAAACCAACAGAGTATCTGCCTCCTGGGCGACTGCTGCCAAGGGGCTGTGCTAACGCAGAAACCCAGGGTGCAGAGATCCCCCCTCTGCTGGAGCATGCTGAGTTTAAACACTGCTGTTCCGTTTCACAGGGTGACTTCTGCAATACTTCTGGTTCACCCCTCCACCCTTCTAATAACAAACTTCCCTTCTGTTTCCAGAGTTGTCGATGATGAAATCGAAGCCAACGTTGAAGAGGTATTTCTTCCCGATTTCTCTAATTCTACTCATTCTGATGGATACCCAGCATGCAACAGAGCAAAAACGCTGCAAGGGCCTGGGCACCCGTTGGGCTGCGTGAACACAGTTTGAAAGCCAGGCTGCAGCCAGCCAGTCTCTTGCTCATTAAAGGCCAGTTTTTCCATGTGCAGGGGCAGGGAGGATGGTGAGTACAGAACACCAGTGCTGCACTGAACAGGCCGGGTTCTGGTCACTCCCCTTGCTCAGCCTCACTTTCATCATTGACAAAGTGGATTCACGGGATAACAAGAGTCCTCAACTTTCTGAGAGTTCCAAGAGTGACTCTGTGGTAAATCCTGAAGGCTTTGAGGGATGTAATTCAGGAACTTCACCCAAGGCCCAATTATAGCAAATCCAAGTAGAAGTACTACAGGCTAGAGAAAGGAAGGTCTCTTCCTTCCTCTCTCTGAGGCCCTGAGGTGACTCTTTGATTGGGTCATAGTTGCTGAAGCCTGGTGCTTATACCAAAAGGCTTGTCATTGACAAAACTGTTCCATAGCCTTCCACTTAGCTCCTGTTGGAGTACACCAGACAAGGTCATTTTAGTTAACTATTAAAGATAATTGCAATTACAAGAAGTTAAAGTGTAACCTCCCTGCCATGTGGTTTCCACTTCCTCTCATGGGCTTCAGCCAAAACAAAACAAAACAAAACAAAACAGCTTAGCTGGGCGTGGTGGTGTACACCTGCAATCTCAGCACTGAAGCAGTAGAGGCAAGAGGATGAAGAGTTCAAAGCACCCTTGGCTATATAGTGAGTTCAAGGCCACCCTGGATTACTTGAGATCCTGCCTCAAGAAGGAAAAATTTCTTAAAAGACAAGTGTGGTGACACCTACCTCTAATCCCAGCATGTGGGAGGTGAGACAAAAGGATGGAGAGTTCAAGACCATCCTCAACTACATTAAGAGTTTTGGACCAGCCTGTGTTATATGAGACCGTGTCTCAAAAGAAAACAAAACATTTACTTCTTCACAGTGCCATTCACTGTAAGCCCAGTATTCTTAGAATTGCCTGGGGGATGGGAAGACTGGAAATTGCGGGTTGGGGGGCTTCTGGGGAAGGGAAAGGATACCTAGTTGTCAATCTTCACTTTAACCCATAGCCTGTTTCTCTGTCTGCTCTTCTAGATTGAAGCCAATGAGGAGGACATTGATGATGGGTTCAGAAGGCTGTTCATTCAGCTGGCAGGGGAGGTAGGTGTCACCAAAATCCTGCTGACATAAAGGAAAAGTGATGTTCCCGGAAGAGACTTCCATTTAAGTTGGGAAGAAAACAAGCCAAGCAAAAGCTTGGTCACTGCTCAGACCCTTAGCTCAGCACTCCTTGCTCACATCCTGTCAGGCCCTCTGATGGCTTCCAGGGTCTCTTCTGTTCAGGTCAGTCTGGCTCTGCTCTTCCTTCCCTGAGATCCTTGGCTCACTTCAACGTTGTTTTGTTTTTTCTGTTCCATGCCAACATGAAAGTTGATTCCCTGTCTTGACCCCCATGAACATACCTAAGATGGAATGGTCCCATTCCTCCAGAGTGTAAGCAGTTCATGCCAAAGCATTGCTTTTCTTTTTCTTAAAACAGTCCCCCAGCCCTACAGTGCCACTGCAAAGCCAGTCAGCCCCTTCCTCCCAGCAATTCCAGAAGTGAAGTGTCCTTCTGCATCATGTAGCTCTCTCTAGTGTTACCATGAAGCCCTCCCCTGTTTAGCCACACACTTATCAACATGCTAAGTGGTACCACCTGTTCCCCCCAGCTCCCTCCTCCCCATTTCTCAAGGGAAGGGGCCTCAGAGAAACTTACTATTCCTGCTGACTGAACTACATAGATCCCTCCACACACACCTGGGCCTTGTCGAGGTTACAGAAATCTCACAAACACCCCTCAGCTGGACTGTGTCTGAGGAGCCCTGGCAAATGGCCCCAGAGAGGCGCTGAGCCATTTTGGAGATGGCTGATCTTAAACAGTTTCCGAAAGCCCAAGATCTGAGTTGTAAAGAATGGAGAAAGCCTGCCTAGTAGGAGGAATGGTGTGGGAGATAGGCTGAGGAAGACCATGAACGCGTTCCCTGCCACAGAGAAAGGGTGACTGACTCCACCTCGCGTGTGCTAAACACAAGCCAGGGTGGTACTCAGTGCAGGCTGGGGATGGCCGCTGCACCAGCATCACTTGGGGCTTTAGCAACGCAGACAAGATTCACCTAACATGTTCACTGTGGTTCACCAGCTCCCACAGAGAGCAGTTACAATGTTCTGGTCGTTTGTCCACAGGATGCGGAGATCTCTGCCTTTGAGCTGCAGACCATCTTGAGGAGAGTTCTAGCCAAGCGTAAGTGCCCCTTTGCAAATCCCTCATCATACTCCTCCCCCTGTGGGCACGAGGGGACTCGGGAACTCCTTCCTTCGGGCACACAAGTCAGAAGCTGTGGCTAAACTGTCCCTCTCTGCTCCTACGTTAGTAAAGCCTATGCGCTCCCAGCCCCAGGGAAGAATAGGATAGAGGAGGGTCTAAGTGAAGTAATGCCAAAGAGCAAAGGTTCCTGGGTCTAGAGATGGCAGATCAAATCCAAATTCTTCTACTTATGAGCTCTGTGATGTAAACCAAGTGAGACCGCCTGTCTGACCCTCCCCCATCACCATCCCCCATCTGATTTCCTCTTCCCAGTACTTCATGATGTGACACATAAAATCTGCCTGTCACAGAGCCTTCGTGCTGCAAATGGAAGTTCTTATACTGACTAGTTAAGAGGCTGAAGAATGAGATAGAGCCAAGGTTATTATCATCAACCTTTCTTTTTTAGCTTGTAGTATTGGTTTTCTTCTTGTTGTTGTGTTTTGTTTTATTTTGCTTTGCTTTTGGTTTTGCTTTTTAAAAATACAGCTCTTATTTTTAATCATTTATTTAATTCTATTTTATGTGCATTAGTGTGAGGAAGCCAGATCCCCTGGAGCTGGGTACAGACAATTGTGAGCTGCCATGTGGGTGCTGGGAATTGAACCCAGATCCTGTTGAAGAGCAGCCAGTGCTCTCAACCACTGAGCCATCTCTCATGCCCCCATAGCTCTTATTTTTACATGTATATGTGTGTACATATGTGTGCATGTGTGTGTGCATGAACATTCATGCCACAGCACACATGTAGAGGTCAGCAGACATCTTGCAGGAACAGGTTTTCTCTTTCTACTGTGTGGGTGCTAGATATCGAACTTAGGTCATCAGGCCTGGTGACAAGCACGTTTAGCTGCTAAGCCATCTTGATGACCCCTTTTTTGCTTTGAGACATGGTCTCATTCTGTAACCTAGAATGACCTCCTTGTACCCAAAATGTAGCCTAGGCTTGTCATGATCCTGCAGCAATCCTCCTGCCTTGCGCTCCTGAGAATTGGAATTATAGGTGTGATCTAACAAGCCATCTCTTAAATAAATAAAAATCCAAAGACTAGTGCCCATTTCCCCTACTGTTGCTCGAGAGAGAAGAGTTCCCTCTTCTTTTTCCCCCCTCAAATCATTACAAACATCTGCTTCTGATGTATGCAGTAGTTAGTGTACAATGCCTGAAGTCACGTGCTTAAGAAACAGACATTGTGACATCCCAAATATCAGCTCTAATCAGTCATCATGGATGTCCCCATGGCCTCCAGGGGTTGCTGTTCCATCTGACATCAGACCAGATGGCCTTCCACTTGACCCCTCAGGATAAAACTAAATCCTTGTTTTAAAGCAAAGAAGAGCCCAAGGTCTGTAGAGTCTCCCATGCTTGGTGTGGGTCCCTCACGGGAAACAATGGGCTGCAAACAACTACACGATAGCATCTGTGGTTCACTCGGCTGTCAGAGTGAGGATGGCTGGAGCCAGCATCCAGGCAAGCCAGTGCAGGGCTTCCCCAGGGCTGGGCCCAGCTACACTCTCCCTCTTCCAGGACAAGAGAATAGTGTCTACCCTTGTGGCTGCCAGGCACGAGGGTGGTCACAGGGCTCCTCAGATGTGGGCTGTGGTGCATTGCAGAGGATAGAGTCTCTTTGTCCCACACAGCTGGAGTGCAGGAAGAGCTAAGCCATGCTTGGCCCAGCCTGCTCCTAGTTGAGGGAAAAGTGTGTGCTGTGCACGTGCCTCTGAGCTCAGGCCCCTGGTGACTCCAGCCTTCTGCCCAAGTGTCCCCACACAGCCCATGCTCATACTAGAGAATGGGTTGGTGTCTAGTGGAACAAGTTTGAGATAGACTAGGTCCAAATATTCTACAGTCACAGCACCAACAGGGTTGTTCCCTGTGGCCTGGAGGGATGACTATGGGGTAGAGTGCTTGCCACGCTGGTCTGAGGGCCTGAGTTGGAATCCCCAGAACCTAGGTAAAGCCAGGCACAGTAGCACGCACCTGCAATCCCAGTGTTCCTGTCGTGCGATGAGAGATGGAGCCAGGGGTCCTCAGAAGCTTGTGGGCTTGCCAGTCTAGCATACACAGGGCTAACAAGGAAGAGACCCCATTCAAAGAAGATGAAAGGTGAGGAGCAACACCTAAGGCTGTCCTGACTCCATGCGTGTGCCATGATACACACACATCCATATTCATACATGCACACACATAATACCCAACATTACCATCATCCTCACCATACACACACACACACACACACACACACACACACACACACACACACACACA